CTCCATGGCCCAGGATCATGCTACCAGACCTACCCAAACCTTTTCGGCTGATTTTCATGGACAGGGACAGACAACTCTTTTTTGCATAAATTTAGAGCTGTCCTCTTATTAGCTCCTTAAAAGCATTTTTTATCCAAAAAAAACTCACATTTAAATTAATCCATGAACTTAAGGTTCTGAGAGATAGAAATGATTATCTAGTCTCCCATTACCTGTCTCCCTGAGCCCGGTCCTTCCTTTCTGTCAGCAGCATCATTGTCTGAAATGTCTGTTTTAAGTGGTCTCTGCCAGTTCCCTCCCCTGGGTCAGCCTACCTCTGCCAGCTCACCTTCCCCACACACCAGCGACTTCCTGAGCTGGATGTCACGGCACCACTCTTCCCTCTGCTTTGCCTGGCTCAGAATTCACTGTCCTAAGCAGCAGAGTTATTCATTCCCTGTCTCTCTTTTATTGCACTTATTTTTACATATCTAGGACTGCACGTGTCTTGTTGGGCTGTGATTCTAATCTGTCTCGTTTGTGGAAGGTACTGTCTTGGGATCCCCACTTGCTGGCACATAGTACTTGCTCTAAGAACATATAAAAGAAAGCCTGTATGTACGTATGTACCCACACACATGCACACTCACACACAAAGAGAGGGTCCCTTCTATGTTATTTTGCAGTGGCAGCCCCCAGTCCATGTTAAAATACTCCCAGTGGATGAAAACATCACTAGTCCCAAGGTGGCCTATTTTAATTTTTAGCAATTTTGTTAGAAAGGTCTTCCTTATATCTGTCCCAGATTTGTATTTCTTTCAAATCAAATTCCCTTCCAAGCCTGTGAAGTTAGTGCTATGGCCTTCTGTCGTCTCTTTTCCAAGAAGACACTAGGTTTTCACTATCCTGGTAAACACATTCCTCTGGATGCTTTTCAGTTTGTCTATATGCTTCTTAAAACACAGAGTCCTAAACTAGGTAGAATTTTCCAGATATGGTCTGAATAGTTCAGAGTAAAGGAGAAACATCAACTCCCTCATTCTAGTCTAAGATCCCATTCACCTATCTGACCTCATTGCCTGTGAGTGTACAGTCAGTTCAAACTCTTTGACTTTCAGGATGTGTATCTGCTTCGTAGGTGCAGTGGCTAATTCATGCCTCTCTCATCTTAACTTGCACAACTGATGTTTTGGGCCTGTGGGTAGAAACCTGCCTTCATCCTAGATATGTTTCATCTTTCTCTACTTAGCTGATCGCCTTGCTCTTGGCAAGGACGTGTTACCTCCCAATCCTCATGCTGACTAGCATCACCTGCCATTCTGTTGCTCTTGCTCTCTACGCCACCTTCCAAGGGGACATAAATGCTAAACAGGACCAGCTTATGGTCAGAGCCCTGTGGCTAATTAGTCCCCACTCTTCTTCCTTCTTCCTTCCTTCGTTTCTCTTTCCTCTGTTGTACTCCCTCCTCCCTGTCTTGTTTCAAAAAGATGCAAAGCAGCTCCCTAGGAGTTTAGGACTTAATACTACAAACTCCTTCCAAGATGACATGAATCCCCATGAGCACGCTTTCAGGGTAGTCATTTGACTGGTTATGAATCCACCTCATGGTTTAACATCATCTCCAGTGTTTTCTCTCATGTCCCTAGGACATGGTGAGGGGAGACCCCTCTGTAATTGCAGACTTATTAGGCCTATCGTAGTTCTGTTCAGAGAGAGCTGTGCTGTCTCTGCAACTTGTCCTGAAGACCTAGAGGCCAGTTTCTTCTTCTAGGAGCTCATGGTCCATCTCTTCAGTGTTCTGTCATAGATTCTCCTTTGAAATTATTTTTACAAATTTTTGACCATGCCATGTGGCATATGGGATCTTAGTTCCCCAATCAGGGATTGAATTTACATCCCTTGCATGGGAAGTGCGGAGTCTTAGCCACTGGATCATCAGGGAAGTCCCTATAGATTCTCCTTTGGAATAGACAAGGTCCTCTCTCTTTTGACCACCTCAATATACACATTTTCTGTCTTCCAAAACCCAGAAAATACTGTTATCTGTTGAAAAGCCATATATAGTAGGTCCAGAGTGGCATTTTCATTAAGTTTTCATTTTGTTTCTAAAAAGGAAGTTGAACTGCAGTTGGAAATTCTGTAAATTTAAGGGTGCATACCAAGTGGATGGGAGCACGCTAAGCGCAGACTTACGACACTTCATAGATTAGTGAAGGTCTTGGGCTCTCTAGATCTGCCTTTAGTTGCTTCGGGGCTTCTCTATTTCCCTTCATTCTTACCTACAATAGCTGAGAGCTTTGAGGAACAACTTGGGGATAGGGATAGTCTAGTTGAGGGAGTAGAGCCATGGCCTGAGAACTAGAAGTGACCCAATCAGCGATCTTAGGTCAGCCTTCCTGTCAGTGGAATTTATTTCAGGACATTTAAAAGATGAGCCCAAAGAAACTTATCTCACCAAAACCGATACCAATGTATAGAAAAAATGGAAAGGAATTAGCTAAGAGAATTTGACCCTCCTCCCCTGTTCTCAAAAGCCCTCCTGGGTTGCTAGTCCACATTACTGTCTCTTCTGGGGGAAAAAAAGCCAATAAATTCTGAGTTTAACAGTAAAGGTAATGACTAGGCTGAAACTGGAAAGCCTTGTAGAATTTTGGGTTCAACAAAAAAGGCCTGAATTACTTCTTTCAAAGTCAGTTCAATTACCACTTCCCACAAGAGACCTTTCTAGGACACTCTCCAGCCCCCTGGCCCTCTGGGCACATTTCTGTCAGTATCCTTATTCCAGCATCTTGAAATGACCTTTTCCATGTTGTCTGCCCACACCACACCCTAATTTCCTCAAAGAACAGGGACTGTCTTATTCATCCTGGTGTTGGCAGAGCCTAGCACTGTGCCTGGCATGGAGCAGAGGTTCGGCAAATATTTACGAACTTAATGGAGTAGTTTCTCAAGCCTTTTAAGTTCATAATGTCCATGGAACATTTTGTTCAATATCTCCTCTCCCTTAATTTTAAAAGGCCATGTGAAATTTAATACATTATCTCAGATTCATGAACACTTTGCTCATTACATTAGTCTTGTTAAAGGAGTCCATTATTTTAGAAATCATGTTACAAGAGAGCTCTTCGTCACTGTATAGTTTTCCATGGGTTGCTGGAGCTTGAGAGGACCAGGGATATTCTGTACCTTCCGCTCTCTTAGGATTCTAGAAGTTTAATGAGAAATGAAAACTTTAGACATCTTCTCATCAAACCCTTCAGCTTGAGGACAAGAACCTCAAGCTCAGAGAAGCAGAAGGGACTTTCCAAAGACACAGAGTGAGTAAGCAGCAGAGCCGAGAGGAGAGCCCCAGTATCATAAGGCTAATGCTCTTCCTGTGACACCCCCAGCCCCCCAACCCGTGAGATCTGCTCACTGGACCCCTGGCCTCTTCATCCCCTTCAGGTTGTCAACGGTGCTCCCCAGAGGTGGGGTGAGGCTGGGGCAGGCCTCCCACTGAGGGACAGCCTACACTGGGGCACCGTTCACACAGACAGCCAGCACTGGGATCTCCTGGGCTCCCCTGGAAATGAGAGGCCCTTCACCCACTCGCCCTTAGAATTTCTGGATACCAGACATCTGACTGCTACTTTGGAGGGAAGGCCAAGGCACCATGGCAGGGATGTGCAGATCACTCACCATGGGCCAGGACAGTGCAGCCCTATCCTCATGAAGTGTTCCACTGGGTTGGGAAGATGGCGTGGAAGTCAGGCCACTATAATGCAGTATGTGCTGCAGGAGGACAGGGCCACGGGAGCACACAGGAAGGCAAAGGCCCAGCCATGGCAGAGGGGGCACTAGAAGGTCCCCTGGGTGCCAGGGGTGTTTAGGCAGAGCCAAGGCAGACATCAAATAAGAGCACCTTACAACAGACCCTTTACAATAAACCATCTCTCTATTTGGGCACCCAGTGAGAAGGTCAGATCTAGACAGGCAGTTTCTGAGGACAGAAAAGTATGAGGTTTCTTTAGCATCTATCCTCCACTAGCCAGGTAAACAAAAGGGGCCACAGCCTGTCATCAGAAAGGACATTCCAAATGACAGTGAAAATATACATGCTCCAGAGTTCAAGGAGAAAGGACAACTTTTTCAAAGTAACCCTATTTTCTTATCAGAGGGAGGTTTGAAAGTCTGCAATTTAAGAATTTGTCACAAAGGCAATCACATCACTGAGATACTCAAGTAATTCAGTCAGGCTCCTTCTCTTCCTATTATATCAACATGATTTATTGTTTACTTTTTTGGGGGTAGCCAAATAAGAATAAATATCACCAGTAGGGGGAATAGATGTCTAAAAAACAAACTCAAAAATGTTTTTCTTATATGAAAATGGCTGTGCACAGTACTAAATGGTTTCCATATCAATATTTCTTTGTTTGTAGTTTGCTTTAAATGCCACAAAGATCACATAAGGAAACAAAAATGTTAAACACATAAAATGCACTTTTTAAGGGCATTTTGGCAAGAGAGCTATTTCAATAATAAATTTTTAACATTCCAGACCCATCTTGCACTTTGTTCAATAATCCTACAAGCCCTTATTACAACTTCAGGGCATAACTCGTGGCTGGCACACAAGGTGATAAATATGAAATGACTCCCCCTGCCCCACAAACATCATCAAATACTGGGAGTCCAACTCTTAGTGGAAAGCCCCCAAATTCTGCTTCAAAGTTAGAAAAAATCACCTTTGTGTGTATCAGTATGAGTAATCTGTTCAAACATATGAACGAGTATTTATATATCAGAGTTTGTGCCAATAATTTAGATGGTGCTTGCTTCAGGAGGAATTGCTTGGATTATGTTCTGATCGTCAAGCTTCTTTTAGGCCTCTGCCCACCCATTCTCTGAAATGCCATACACTACAGCCATAGGTCAGCTCCTACTTCTGTCGTCAGGAAACCTTCTCCTGATAACATGCTCCCAAGGCCAAGGCTTTGTTATCACAGAAGACTCTAATCCTGCTCACGGCACACACCTAG